TTGCATTCTGTATTTTATTGTGTTGTATTGTATTTTTGGGGCTTAGCCTCATGGTAGTCGCTCTGAGTTCCCATTGTGATGGTGACAGGGTATAAATAAAGATTATTATTATTATTATTATTATTATTAATTTTGTTGGTAATTGAGACATCCACTGGATGTCACTGTTTTCCAAAGTACTAGCTTTTTGAGTATCTAGTAAGATTCTAGTTGCTTGGGAACCAGTTGTGGGTGGGCAAGTCGTAGCAATGTTTTTTGTTTTGTGTGTGTGTGTGTGTCTTTATAGTTTGGTTACATTAGATATCCTCCCTGAATCAAGACTTGAGGCAGAAACAAGTCAGGGAGTGCTACCCTCCGGCAGTGATAAGAAATCATGCTAGATACCTGTGATTCGGGTTTAGCGATCACAACAAACTTATGGTTTGTTGTGATCTCTAAACCTGGCCACAGAAAGAATTTAGACTTGCACAGTGTGTTTATTGTTACTATAACTACAAGCCCTTTTGACCACTTGAAGTCTAGGAACAAAATGTCCATATGAGCTTCTACCAAACTACAGGCAGTCCCCGAGTTACAAACATCTGTTTTACAAACTACTCATAGTTAAGAACAGTGATAAAACAACAAGAAGTGGGAGGAATCTATTTCCAGGAAGGGAAATTCAGTCTTGAAAATGTTATCATAGGGATAAGGTTTCTCAACTGAAGCTTTATCACCAATCCTGGTTTCCACAACAAGCCATTTTTTTTCAAAATCCAATTATCACAGGGACTGAAAGTGAGGTGTGTATAACTCAAAGTGCTGATTTTATCATACAAAGCCATATTCATCCCAGTAATACATTATTGCAAAAATTATCTCCTGTGCCAGTCTCTATAATCCCTGCTGCCTTTCACATGCGTTGGACGAGAAATCCCATCCTTTTCAGATAACATTGCAAGTGGGCATCCAGCAGGGTGGAGATCTTAGATTGTTAATTTTTAAAGACATAATTAAATTCATTTATCTTTTCAAGCAACTATTTCAGTAGTTTGTTAACCATTATAGTTCCAATTTAAAAGTTTATCTTTCCTCAGAAATAATTCAGATATTTCCTTTCCTTCCTCAATGTAGCACCATGGGGTACAGTACAAAGTAGCACTTGAAACATATGACATATCTGCGTTACTATTTTGTGAAACTACATTTCTATCGACTTTATCACACTAGAGAATGAATCCACTTTAAATCTGGTTGCTGCCTCCTTCAGAATTCTGGGGTTTGTAGTTTAGGGAGGAGCCTTTAACACACTCCCTAAACTACAAACCCCATAATTCTGCAGGAGGCAGAAACCGGATTTAAAGTGGATTCATTCTCTTGTGTGATGAAGTAGTATAATTATAAAAATGATACAGCAATATAACATATTTATACCTTTGGTAATAGAAGAAGGAACAAATTGCAAGTAATTTATTATTTGGAATAAATTACAACTGAACTACTTGTGGGAATGGTGGAAGTTGGAGTCCAGAACACCTGGAGATTAATTGGTGGTGATGTCTCCAATCATAAAGATATACTTCATTGCTAAGGAGATGTCCTAATAATGGTTCTGTACTTTTAAAAAATGTCCTGCCTAGATTTGCCGGGCTAATTGCAAGACTCTTTAGCACTAAATAAGGACTTTTTTTTTCTTTGATGCTTCTTAGTGGATCACTAACTAATAAAATGAATGACTGTTACAAGAGAGACACATATACTAATTCAAAAGAAGAATACCATGCTGATGAGAAATTACATTTTTCAATTGTCTGATTGTTCTCTGATAGGCCTATTTTGAAATATCGAACATAAAAATACATAGAGATTGCAGAAAATAAAGCTCTGTTGATATTGCTGGATAACTAAGGGCCCTTCCAGACAGACCCTATATCCCAGGACTGGATCCCAGGTTTTCTGTTTATCCCAGATTATCTGGCAGTGCGGACTCATATAATCCAGTTTAAAGATGAAAACCAGGGATCAAATCCTGGGATAAAGGGCCTGTCCGGAAGGGCCCTGAGTCCCCACTGCCAGATAATCTGAGATAAACAGAAAACCTGGGACCAGATCCTGGGATATAGGGACTGTCTGGAAGAGCCCTAAAAAGTGTGTTGTGCTCTCTAGTAACTTCCATGGTAGGCTTTTTAAAAAATAGAACTCAAATTCTTAAGTTTGGTTTTCATTCCTTCAAAAGTAAGAACTCCCAGTCATTGCTGTTCAGTCATTTTTATCAGTATAGGCACCATAATGCATTTTACATGGCGGTGCTCTTTAAAGATGACTCAGAGGCTTCAATTAGGATAGCTTTAAGTGTTTTGTTTACATCTGTCTAGCGCTGAAAGCATCGCTTTAGTTCAGGGATCCTTAAACTTTTCCGCTTGTGTCCGCTTTTGACCCATTTACGTAACCCCAGATACATAACTATATAAAATAGGTATAAAATCAAACAGTTAGTGATGACAAATCAGCATTTGCAAGGCTTGCTCAACAGACTGATTTGCCTTTTTATAAAATACAGTGAAAACATCTTTCTCAAAGTCTGCTGCCAGCACTGCAAAACAGATGTATGTAAATGTCTAAAACAGCCTCTAGATGACATTCAGAAAACTTTTACTGTTGCCAAATCTTTCATGACCCCAACTGTCTTTGCAGCCCGAAAGACAGTTGCATCTGTCAAGTAGGAAATTTAGGTACCACTTATGTGGGGAGACTAATTTACGAGGCCATAAAAATCTCCAGCAAGCATGCAAAGCATGAGGAAGTACTTCATCAGTGTCACAAATGGATGGTAAAGCGACAGCTCCCCTGGTGGCCAGAATACACCCTCATGAAAAAGCTGGATTGTTAAACAGCCTCTGAGTCTATATATGTTGTGTGTCTATGGCATTGAATGTTTGCCAAGTATATGTACATTGTAATCCGCCCTGAGTCTCCTGCGAGGTGAGAAGGGCAGAATATAAATACGGTAAAAAATAAACAAACAAACAAACATTGAGCACCCTATTTGGGTGCCTACAGTTTAAGAAGCACTGCTCTAGTTGCCCATTTGTTTCTAGCCCCATAGCCCATCCCCCGTATTTCTTAAGATCCATAGACACTTTCTTCCAGATTCTTTCTTTTACGGCAGGAGTTCCCAACCTTTTTTTGAACAGGAACCACTTTGACCAGGGGCCACTCTCCAATATTAGTACCAAAAGTTTACAAATCAGTTTTTTGACAACTTTAGATTCAGTTTGGTTATTTGGGGTGCTGATTCAGAAAATTGCGTTAGATCACATCAGCTCTAGTTCCTGATACAGAACATATGCCATCCAGTAGTCACCATCTGCTCACCCACAAAAAAAACAACAACAAACATATTTAATAATCTAGAGCTGATATGTTCTATCCAATGCAATTTTCAGCACACCAAATAACCCCAGGAGCAGGCCTAAAAACAAAGACCACTTCCAAGTGCCACATGAAACTACTCCACTCAGGGGGAGGGTGGAGGAGGAGAAGCAGCAGTCAGAAGGCTTGTTTTCACACCTTTTGTGTGTAGTCAGCCTCTCCCCTCCTGACATTCCCATTGCCTTGGCACTATAAGAGGGTTTCATGAGACCGGTCACTCTTGTTACAATGGTGTAGTAGTGGTGAGGCCGCGGACCATATTTTAGTTCTTGGGAACCACTGGTAGTCCACAGACCACAGGTTGGGAACAACTTCTTTACAGAAAAGTGTGTAATCACAAAGGAAATAATTTTGTCAGCTGTCATCCCCCAGCTTTGATGTATACCCTGTGCCTACTGTGCAGTCTTTGTAATACCAAGTTACGGGCATTTCCATTGAATCATCTTTAACTGTGTCTGAATAGTCTTTTTTTCTGTCCCGTTATGTTTATCCGAAATTAATATTTGAATTTTTATTGTATTATCTCCAATTTTAAATGTATTATTTGTATTGTTATAGAGATCCTGTTTTCATAAATGGTAGTATAGAAGTATGGAGTTAAACCCACTGGTATGCTAGTATAGATCTGAGCAATGACATTTCTCCAAATATATACCCTGCTGTGTGAAAATTTGCTCACTAGGCTTTTGGAGCAGTTTTTATAGATGAGTGGGGAAAGGGGGGAAAAATAATTGACTTGTTTTTTTCACTGGATTGGTACCATTGGATCCCCATTCTTTTTGGGGTAACAGACCGTTTAGCTTCCTTTATGCAACTGAAATGTTTACCTAAATTTCTGCAATGTATCTCATTCTCCTTCCCCCTCTTTCTTTTTTCTTTTTGCAACCCAAAACCAGTTTGCTGAATTAATATGTCCAGAACAGTGGCTCCCACCCTCAGATCCTCAAACATTCTTGACTGCAACTCCAAGAATCTATGACTCTTGACTATACTGACTTGGGATTCCAGGACCTAGGCACAAGACCATTTTAATTTTTTTAATGTGAATTACTTTTAATTTAAAATGTTAATGTAACTGCATTTTAACTGTATGTTGTCCAAAGGTATTGAATAGTTGTCTATATGTAAAGCTGCCTTGAGTCCCCTTCGGGGTAGAGAAAGGCGGAATATAAATAGGGTAAATAATAACAACAACAACAACTATAACAATAATAATAATAAAGACTGGCACAAGCCAGTCAAGGTGGCCCCAGTGATGATCGACACACTGGGTGCAGTGCCTAAAAACCTTGACCTGCATTTAAACACAATCGGCGCTGGCAAAATTACCATCTGTCAGCTGCAAAAGGCCATCCTACTGGGATCTGCACACATTATTCGCCGATACATCACATAGTCCTAGACACTTGGGAAGTGTCAGACGTGTGATTCAATACAACAACCAGAATAGTGATCTTGTTTGCTATATATTAATCTTGTTGTGTTTCAAATAATAATAATAATAATTGGTCTAGTACATATTTTTATTATCTGCATTTCAGTACAGATGTCTGGAATATATTGAAATGTAACACAATTATTTCTTGCAGGTGCAAGTACTGGCACTATGATGAGAACCTACTCACTTCCAGTGTTGTCATTGTCTTCCATAATGAAGGATGGTCTACTCTCATGAGGACGGTTCACAGTGTTATTAAAAGAACTCCAAGGAAGTATCTGGCAGAAATTGTTTTGATAGATGATTTTAGTAATAAAGGTAAATGCATTTAATATCAGTACATTTTTCAGGAAAGTTGAACCAACAAGAAAAATTTTCTGCTGATCTGCAGTTGTTTATACTCTTTACTATATGCCAGCTTGCAGTTTTGAGAGTATTGGCCCATTAATCTTTGATGGAGGAGTTTGTAGAATGTTTTTTAATATATATTGGATAATTATGGGTTTGCTTAAATTTGTTGTGGGTCTTTTGAATGCAAAGGTGAATTAATGCAGTTTGCTCAAGCCGCAGAGATAGTTTGAACTTGGCACATTTTCTGTGTAATGTTTTTTTTCCTAGTAATGACCCTCCTAAAAGAAGTATAAATGCTTTCAAATTTGGCAGATTCCTATTTTTTAGTTCTTTTAAATTGGGATGGGAATTATGTGGCTCACAAGCTGTATGTGACCCTCATTGTTTTCACTGTGGCTCCCTTGGTCCCTTCATCCATCTTTCTATGTCATCATCATCATCATCATCATTGCCCCAGGAGGGAGAGTCATGCACCTAGAATTCTTCAGGGAAAAACATTATTTTACTATTATTTTCAATCACCTAGGATCTCTTTCGAGAGTACATACTCAAAATAGCCATTTCCAATCCATTTGGTTCAGTTCTACTTTTAGTCAGTGGAGAAGGTCCAGTTGATGAGGGTTGATAGGATTTGAAAATGAGTCACAATTTTTCCTTATCTATTTCTCCTGCTTTAGAAGAAGGCTTTAAAGCCAAGCTCATTTCTCAGATCAGAAATGAATGATGATACTGTTCAGAAGTAATAGAAGAATTTGACTGAACTGTTTTATATCTGTACATTTTGGAATGATAGTAATGCCTCCCCTTAAAAAGGATGCATAGTTGTTATCACATTACAATGGTAAATTTTCAATGGACTTCATCAAATAGTCTTGGATTATTTTTGCTCTAATATGCGCAAATACTTCTCCTTATAGTATAGTGAATTTCCCAACACTAGAATTAATGGTGTAATCCATACTTCAGTTCATAGTTCAGGACTATATACTCAGTGGATGAGCATGTGCAAATGAACTGATGCCTTTGAATTAGAATATAGAGTAGGGCTTGGCTTCCAGTTGGATATGAGACATATTAGCTTTCATTATGAGTATTACTTACAGAGTTGTAGACCAGTGGTATCCAACCTTCGATCCTCTGAGTGTTTTGGACTTCAGTCCCAGAATGCCTGAGCATTAGATAAGCTGGCCAGGACTTCTGGAAGCTGAAGACCAAACCACCTAGGAGAAATATAAATAATATCAGAAATATTGTCGAAGACTTTCATGGCCGGAATCACTGGGTTGTTGTAGGTTTTTGGATGCTTGCCATAGATGCAGGTGAAACGTCAGGAGAAAATGCCTCTAGAACATGGCCATATAGCCCGAAAAAACCTACAACAACCCAATATCAAAAGTGCTAGATACCATATATAGTCGAGTATAAGCCGAGTTTTTCAGCCCTTTTTAGGTTGGAAAAAGCCCCCCCTCATCTTATACTCGAGTCAGAGTTATTTATTATATTATTCTGTTGTTGTTGTTATTATTATTATTGCATTTATTATTATATTCTTCTTCTTATTATTATTATTATTATTACACTAACATTATTTTACTCTATTATTACTTTATTATGTTTTTTGTTCTATTTATTATTATTGCACTTATTATACTCTATTATTGTTATTACTATATTTATTATTTTACTCTATTTTATTATTACATTTAATATTTTATTGTCTGTTATTATTGGAAGGATACATAAGCACATTTACATCGAAGAAGGTTAGAATAATAGTTTGATCAGAGTTGGACAGTCTTATCTTAAATTACAATTATGTAAATATTCAAAAACATTTAATTTACGGATGCCTCAATTAATGTAATTTTATTGATATCTATTTTTATTTTGAAATTTACCAGTAGATGCTGCATTTCCCACTGCATTTATACTCATTTTCCCAGTTTCTTGTAGTAAAATTAGGTGCCTTGGCTTATATTTGAGTCGGCTTATACTCGAGTATATACAGTACATGCAAAGTGTATGTGAAAATGAAATGTGGGAGAATCTAGGAAAGTAATAGCACCCAAAATGAGCAGGTACACAAGGAGGAACATAAATCAAAGATGTTACATAGGAACTATATTGAGAAGGTACTCCAGCTATTGCCCCTTACACAGGCACACATTGCATTTTTAAAAGAATGCTACTCTCCCTTTTATCTCCACTGCTTTTCTGTTCAGAGCAGACTATAACAGAGAGGCGTATGTGAGCATTATCCAGTGACATAATGCTGAGAAAATGCTAATCCCTAGCAGTCTTTCCTTGCCACATTTGCTTGTGATAGTCATAAATATTGATGAGGAGTCATAGGTGTTTTCTTGGAGACGTTTCCGCATCTTCTTTGCATCTACATCTGCCTTCCAATTGAGACATTATTAAGATTTATTGTGGGGCCTGAACATTACATCTCCTGCACCATTGCTTGAACTCTGTTGCCTTATAAATGTTCACATTTTATTATATGAGTTAAAAGTCTTGATTTAACTTTTTATTTTATTTTAATTTTTTTGGCATGTCAAAGAGCAGTGATTGATTTGTCCCACTCCTGTAATCCGCCCAGGCTTTCTTACAGCAGAAAAGTGAACAGAGAAAAGATGGGGCACTTGATTACATCTGGACACTCTCCACACGGTTTTAGCACATGAGTAAATGGCTGGAAAAGTACTTCAAAGCTTGTGCCTTTGTATTGCCAAGAGAGTCGGGCGCAATTAGGAGACCTGTGTCTTCTTTTATAGCAGTGTTTCTCAACCTTTCTAATGCCACAAGCCCTTTTCCCCAGATGATTTTCACCATTGCATTTTTGTATGCTGTTTCCTCTAAATCAAGGTTCCCTGGCGTAGTCAACTGTGAATCGCATATATGGTATTTCTGTGCCTGCGCAGACCAGCTCCGGAACCTTCTGGAAGATAAAAATAGATATTTTAACCCCTGCCTCATCCCGCCCACCCCCTCGAGTAGATATAGCACATGGGCGGGGTTAGGCCTCCAGTTCTCTGCATCCGCCGCCATTAGCAGCAGCTAGAGAACCTTCATCCTGACTAGCATATTTTTACTTTTGTGTTTCGATTCGGACTGCCTGTTTTGCCTGACTTATGTGCTTTGACCTGGGCTGTTTGAAGCAACCTATAATTTCTCAGCCTTCCTAATGTCATGACCCCTTAATACAGTTGCTCACGTTATGGTGACACCCCACCATAAAATTATTTTCGTTGCTACTTCATAACTGTAATTTTGCTACTGCTATGAATTGTAATGAAAATATCTGATATGCAGGATATATCGTCATTCATGGGACCAAATTTGGCACAAGTACCTAATACACCCAAATTTGAATACTAATGTGGTGGGGGGGGGGGTTGGTTTTGTTATTAGGGAGTTGTAGTTGCTGGGACTTATAGTTAACATACAATCAAAGAGCATTCTGAACCCAGCCCACAGTGGATCTGCACCAAACTTGGCACACAGAACTCCCACGACCATCAGAAAATATTGGAAGGGTTTGGTGGGCATTGACCTTGAGTTTTGGATTTGTAGTTCACCTATATCCAGAGAGCACTGTGGACTCAAAAAATGATGGATCTGGACCAAACTTGACACGAATACTCAATATGTCCAAATGTGAACACTGGTGGAGGTTGGGGGAAATAGACCTTGACATTTGGGAGTTGGAGTTGCTAGGATTTATCACCTACAATCAAAGAGGATTTTGAACCCCAACAATGATAGAATTGGACCAGACTTCCCACACAGAACCTGAATGCCTTGAAGAGACTTGCTGGCGCAAGCTTCCCTTCAGGCTTACACACTCTCCCTCGCCCACACATGTGCACCACACTGCCACGTGTCGAGCACGCCTACTCTCCCCTCCCCTCTTGGCCAATCACAATGGGAGGAGTCACTGTCTGTTGCCAAAAAGGAAGAGAAGAACAGGCGGAGAGAGTTTCAGCCTTCTCAGCCAAAGGGGTTCCTAAGACCATCAGAAATATATGTTTTCTGGTGGTCTTTGTCAAACCCTCTGAAACCCCCTCACGACCCCCCCCCCCGGGCCTTGACCCCCAGGTTGAGAAACACTGTTCTATAAAATCAAATAGCCTTTTCTCTAGTCTGGCCTTTCCACCACTATAAAGGCGCACGTCTTTTCTTACTTCCCTGTGTACTTTTTTTAATAATCTAAGTAATGTTGATAAGCAATTCGGAATTGAGCTTACCATCAACAAATATACCCATTAGTGATGATTTAATATTCTTATCTTCTGGGAATCTAGATATTTAATTAAGTACATGCAGTTTGTTTACATTTTAAAAAAATAGTTTGTGTTGTAAGCTCCAAGCTAAATATTTTATAACATATCTGGAAACTTCTTTTTTATTATTTGATAGCACACTTAAAAGAGAGACTAGAGGAGTATATTAAGCAGTGGAATGGCCTTGTAAAGATTTTTCGAAATGAAAGGAGAGAAGGTTTAATTCAAGCTAGAAGCATTGGAGCCCAGAAGGCTAAACTTGGACAGGTAGAACACCGTTTGCTAAATAAAACCCTCCTTTCTCTACAATCTACGTTTTGCTTTTAACAACCTTTTAACCACTTGATTATTTTAACTGTAGTTCTTAATTGCAATATTTCATATAGTGTTTTAAAGATAGTTATTAAAAAACAATGTCAACTTAAAATGCAAAAACGCACAAGTAAATCAATATGTCTTTTGTGCAAGGAAATCTCAACTGAGTTGAAATCTCCTTTCCTCTTTATTTTAAAGGTTTTAATTTACCTTGATGCCCACTGTGAGGTGGCAGTAAACTGGTATGCACCACTAATAGCTCCTATATCTAAAGACAGGTAATAAATTCTGCTTATTTCCATATTTCAGAAAGTCTTTAAAATAGCCTTATATTTTCTTGCTCACTCAGGTTAAGTAACAGTCGTTTCTGGGTGAGTAACTTCCTAGCTCCTTCTCCAAGTGCCCAAATAATTGTCTGCTGGTTGGTTGATATGATCTTGTTTTTACGCACAAGGCTATCCTTGGGTATGTGGGGAAAATGATAATTACATCAATAAAGCCGGATTTGCCAAGATTGGGTATTTGTAATTCTACCATTTCAGGTGGTTTTGGCAAACTGGAAAGGAAAAAGTCTTGAAATAATATACATTTGGAATCCTTTAATATGGCATTAATGTGATTAAAAGTAAAGATAAAGGCTTCCTCTTGACATTAAGTTTAGTCGTGTCAGACTTTGGTAGGTGGTGCTAATCTCCATTTCTAAGCTGAAGAGCCGACGTTGTCTGTAGACACCTCCAAGGTCAGGTGGCCAGCATGACTGCATGGAGCGCCATTACCTTCCGACAGAAGTGGTACCTTTTTTTCGAACTGCTAGGTTGGCAGAAGCTAGGACTAATGGCGGGAGCTCACCCCGCTCCCTTTATTTGGACCGCCGAGCTTTCTTTCAGCAAGTTCAGCAGCTCAGCCCCGGTTTCTGCCAACCTAGCAGTTCAAAAATATGCAAATTTGAGTAGATCAGTATTTTGGGCTGGGCCTCATGTAAGCCGCTCCGAGTCCCTTGGGGAGATGGTAGCGGGGTACAAATAAAGTTTATATTATTATTATTATTATTATTATTATTATTATTAAGTACCACTTCGGTGAGAAAGTAACGGTGTTGCGTTCAGTCATGCCGGCCTCATTACCTTGGAGGTGTCTATGGACAACGGCGGCTCTTCGGCTCAGAAATTGAGATGAGCACTACCCAGACTCCACTAGACTTAATGTCAAGGGGAAACCTTTACATTTTAGTCTCACAAAATGGCAGTCCCTCCGAGGACAGCAGTGTTTTCCTAATGTAAAACATGTTGCTTCTACCATTCCCCTTGAAAATATGTCTCCAAAAACTATGAAGGAAGGGTGTACTGATGTTCTGTTTTTAGCGTGATTGTATTCTTATATTACTTTAAATTCATCCTGCTCATTCATAATCTCCTGCCCACTTCCTTCTAAAAGAATAGCAGTGTTTTGTATATGTTTGTTCTAATTACATTGGAATAAAGTTGAAACGGTAGGCAGTTTATTGGATTAGACAGCTTAACCTTGTCTCTTCCCCTTCCATAAATGTTTCAGAACTACATGCACTGTGCCTCTAATAGATTACATTGATGGGAATGACTATTCCATTGAACCACAGCAAGGTGGGGATGAAGATGGTTTTGCCAGAGGGGCCTGGGATTGGAGCTTGCTATGGAAGCGTATTCCATTAAGCCACAAGGAAAAGGCAAACAGAAACTATAAAACTGAGCCATATCGGTAATAAAGACTGTTTCATTCTATTGATCTATGTAGCTCGTGCTTATCTAAATCCTGTCATTTTCCCCCTTTCTTTTCCATGAACCATGATTCGTTTAAATGTGCCATGTGCGCTGCTCTCATCCTCACTGCCACCACCCATAATCCTGCAGAACCACATGCACTGTTCCGCTTATAGATGTCATAGATGGCAACACTTATAACATTGTCCCCCAAGGGGGTGGTGACGAAGATGGGTATGCTAGAGGAGCATGGGATTGGAGTATGCTGTGGAAGAGGGTGCCCTTGACCAAACGTGAGAAGGAAATGAGAAAGACAAAAACTGAGCCGTATCGGTAATCACTAAACCACTTACACGTTTCTCCTTTTCCTTAAGGGATGTGCTAAACTATTAAATATACTTGCATGAACTCTCCAGATCTTTAAAACAATGCTAACCGAAGCAGCTACTCTGTCAAGAGCATCCCTCTTTTCACTAACACACGGTCAGGCTCTTCTAATTGTAGCCTATGCTAACTAACTCCCTTTGCACTATTATTCTGTAATATACTTTGCGTACTCAGTTCTCTAAGCAAAATACAGGATAGTTTTTAATTGGATTGTTGAAAAAAAAACCATGTGATCTGCCATTGGACCTTCGGGCTTTTTAGAAATGACTTAGCATGCTTGTTATGAATAGCACACTGTTAGGAATAGCAAACGTTTCTCTTGTTCGAGTGCATGCATATTGCTCATGTTAATCAGAGGAGATGGTTAGGCTGGCCCTTTGTGAAAACACAGCTAATACTGGCATCTTTGGTTTCATATATGAAAGAATCTACATCAGTGGTTCCCAACCTGTGGTCCGTGGAACACCAGTGGTCTGCAAGAATGAAAATATGGTCCACGGCCTCACCATTACTACACCGTTGCCTTCAAACCACGCGGCAATGAGAGCAACTGGTCTCACAAAACCCTCTTATAATGCTGAGCCAATGGGGATGTCAGGCGGGGAGGTGCTGCCTACTAGTTACGGGCTCAAAATTTGTCTCATCCGTTTGATTCGTGTTTCCGTTTTTTTTCTGTCCATTCGGATGACACAAAACGGGAAGGCCCTTCCTCCAATGAAAATAAAATTGATACGAAAGGCAGGTGGGGGCAAGTACTGGCTCCAAGCCTGCTTTTTGGATTGATTGCTGCGTGCATAGGCCCAAAGCATTGGGACCTCACAGTGCCTGCAGACAAATGAGGTCTTCTTAATTGACGCTTGGCTGCAGACACCTTGGTGCTTTGGGCCTATGCGCGCATGCCTCACAGGGCCTGCAGCCAAGCACCGAGTAAGGAGCCTTCCTTACTTGGTGCTCAGCTGCAGGCGATGCCAGACCCGGGCATGTAGGCCCAAAGCCTGCACCTGTAAGCCTAAAACATGCACCTATAGGCCCAAAGCCTGCACCTGTAGGTCCGGGGGCTTTGGAGCTACGGGTGAACCCCCCACCCACCCTCAAGAAAAACAATGGGCCAAAAGAAAACTGATCCTTTGGCACAGAAAACAGATTTCTGATCTCCCAAATTTGGAAGGCTCAGTCGAAACGGATTGGGGCCCTGACCGAAAGCCAGGACACAAAACGGATCAAGATTTACCCCGAATGCACATGACTACTGACTACCCACGAAAGAGTACTATTATCACATCAGCTCTAGATTATTAAATATGGTTTTCTGTGGGCAAGCGCATGGTGACTATTGAGTGGCGTATGTTCTGTATCAGAAACTAGAGCTGATGTGGTTTATCCAATGCAGTTTTCTGAATCTGCACCCCAAATAACCAGACCAAATCTAAAGTTGACCAAAAACTGATTCATAGCCCTTTACTAATGTTGGAGAGTGATCCCTAGTCAAAAAAAGGTTGGGAACCACTGATGTACACATTTAAAGACCCAATGTGTTGAATGGGACAAGACAAAAGCCAAGAGGTTCCCGTGATTTCTATCTTTTCTTAAAATCCCTCTGGACCCTTGGGGTCAAGGTGGTGTCTCTCTTTGGGCAGCACTGTAAAGACCTAGTTTATAGAAGTGTAATGTATGAGTCAGAGAGGACCTTGGCCAGAGCTCCATCTAACCTGATATGAAATCATGCATCAGGAAAAAAATGCTGCTTTGCTATGCATGGTAAAGTAAGCTCACAAATAAAAGTGTCATTTATGGATATTTCCAGGAAGGAAACGTAAGGTTAATGAGTCTGCGTACTTCATTTAGTTTGGTAAACAGACTCAAAGATTCCTTTGATTTCTGTAGTCCTGCCTTCATCAAATAATGACCAAGCTTGATTTTTGCCCTAAATCAATCAATCAATTAAAATGTAAACATACATTTGCCTAGAAAGACTGAGTTTTTTTCCTAATACTACTCCTCCCTTTCCTTCAACTAGTGAGGCTGTGGTTCTGCTTTGATTCCGCTCAGATTTACAAATTTTGCAAATCGGTTTACTCTCATTTCAAAGTTCCTTTCCTTGCAAGTAAAGTAACTATATTTTCTTACTCTTTGGTGACATCCATGCAATTTTTTTTAAATGAATGCTGCTTTTCATTTTGCTCTCACTTTATGATGTCTTAGCTATATTTCCAAGAGAAATTCTGAAGCTTTGGTTTTCAAATTTATGGTGGTTCTTTCACATATTCCACAATTCAAGTAAGTTATTGTAATAGAAATAGTTTGAAAGCGGAAACTTGGGCATTTGAGCATTCTTATTCATTTGGCCAAATACTGGCATTTTCATTTTTGATGAAATTTGCTGTAAACTGTTTGTATAGCAAGTACGATTTTGCCACAACTGTGAAGAATAGAGACGTGTTCTGTGACTTCTGCAATTGAAAGCAAAACTGGTGGAAGTTCAGCACTTCATTCCAGTGTTCTTCCCCGCTTTGAACTGCAGCCTCTGGAGTTACTTTGGCTTTAAATTACCATTGGGGAAGAGAATTGTGTAAAATGTTGGTTACATCTTAATTGAAATCTGGCTTTCCCAAACTCTTAATCGTTACAGTTTGCAAACAGAACTTGAAGCACTTGCTTCAAACTTATTAACCACCATGAAAGCTTTATAATTTCTATGTGCCTGAGAATTACCATCTGCTTCTTCAAGTTTCAAAGCATTCCCTTGTGGCATACAAATTAGTCTTCATTCGCTTGTCTCCTAGATCGCCTGCGATGGCTGGTGGATTATTTGCCATAGAGCGTGACTTCTTTTTTGAACTGGGCCTCTATGATCCAGGTCTACAGATTTGGGGCGGTGAAAACTTTGAAATATCTTACAAGGTAAACAAAAAAAAAGCCAAAGGAGTTTGTAATTACCATTCTCTCCATGTAAATACATGAGTGCTTTTCAATTCAGTTCTTAAGTTCCTAGATTGATCCAGAATCTCTGGTGTCATTCTTTTTTCAGTCATTTGGCTGCTAGTTAGTACCTGGCATATTTATTTATTTACTATATTTATACCCCACCCATCTCACCCCAAAGGGGACTCAGAGTGCCATACAAATCATGTGCCGCATCATACACACAACAATAAACATACCACACCAAATTCTGAAACAGTTAAAATATATACACAGTTAAAATATATAAATACAATAAGACAGATTAAAAACATACATAGTGCTAAGTCTTGATTTTCCATATTTTTTGATTTTCCTATAGGTATTATTCAGAGATCTAGATTGAGGTTGAATTCTGTATTACCCTACTTCCCAAACGCTTGAGTAAAAAGCCAAGTCTTCAACTTTTTCCAGAAGAACAGGAAAAAGTAGGTTGTAGGTTTTTCGGGCTGTATGGCCATGTTCCAGAAGCATTCTTTCCTAGGAGAGAATGCTTCTGGAACATGATTGACCATACAGCCCGAAAAACCTACAACAGCCCAGTGATTCCGGCCATGAAAGCCTTCGAAAAGACCAGGAAATAGTTAAAGGCTTTGTACACAGATGTTTGGGGAGTAGGGTAATACAGACCAGGAGGGATGGGGCCAGTTTGATGTCACTAGAGAGGGAGTTCCACAGCCAAGGGGCCACCACTGAGAAGGCCCTGTCTCTCATCCCCACCAGTCGCATTTGCAGCAGAGGTGGGACCGAGGGCAGGAAATCTTAAAGCTCTAGTTGGCTCATAAAGGGAGATATGTTCAGACAGGTAAGTTAGACAAGAAGCATTTAGGGCTTTATATGACAAAGCCAGCACTTTGAATTGAGCCCGGTAGCAAACTGGCAGCCAGTGGAGCTGACATAACAGGGAGGGTTGTATACTCCCAATACGCTGCTCCAGTAAGAAATCTGGCTTACAAACAGTGGTTCTCAACCTTCTTATTGTTTTAGCTATTTTTATATTGTTATAGGCATCGAATTGTGCCATTCTGTAAATTGCCATGAGTCACCCCTGGGCTGAGAATGGTGGTATAGAAATATAGTAAATAAGTAAATAAATAATGCCGGACCCCTTAATATAGTTCTTCATGTTATGATGACCCCCAAACATAACATTATTTTCGTTACTACTTCATAACTGTAATTTTGCTACTGTTATGAATCGTAATGTAAATATCTGATATGCAAGATGTATTTTCATTCTCTGGACCAAATTTAGCACAAATACCATATACACCCAAATTTGAATACTGGTGGGATTGGAGGAGGTTGTTTTTGTCATTTGGGAGTTGTAGTTGATTGGATTTATAGTTACTCTACAATCAAAGAGCATTCTAAACTCTACCGATGATGGAATTGAACCAAACTTGGCACACAGAAATCCCATGACCAACAGAAAATACTGGAAGGGTTTGGTGGGCATTGACCTTGAGTTTTGGAGTTGTAGTTTACCTCCATCCAGAGAGCACTGTCGACTCAAACAATGATGGATCTGGAGCAAACTTTGCACAGATACTCAATATGCCCAAATGTGAACACTGGTGGAGTTTGGAGGAAATAGACCTTGACATTTCAGAGTTGTAGTTGCTGGAATTTATAGTTTACCTACAATCAAAGCGCATTCTGAACTCCACCAAACTTCCCACACAGAACTCCCATGACCAACAGAAAATATTGTGTTTTCTGATATACTTTGGCAAACCCTCTGTCACCCCCCTCGCAGTCCCCCCAGGGGTCCCGATCCCCAGGTTGAGAAACGCTGACTTAGAGCTTCCAGACAGTCTTCAGAGACATCCCCATGTAGACCATGTTCAGTAGTCTCAGAGATGTAACAAGAGCATAGACCACCATGGCCAAATCTGGATTCTCATATAGCTTCCTCACATGGTATTCTTGCCTTCCTTTGCACTGTAATAAATACATCAAATCTTAGATTTGTGATCATTCTATAAACTGTTCCAGCATATTATCAATACCCATTCAACTAAGCGAAATGTTTATAATCTAATAGTTAGGGCTGTCTTTTAATAAGAAATGTCTGAAATCCATAGACTGCATCTCATCTCACTGCAGCTGAAGAGATTCAGTTAATCCCATTCTAATGAATGTATAAATTACAGTTAACATTCCTCGAAGGGTTAAACTATTTTATATTTCTGAAAAGGCTTGATCTTGACTTGATCTTGCAGAGCTTTGATTTTAGTATAAGAAAACGACATTGCATGAATTTCTAATATTACCTTGCAGACATGACTTCAGAAATTGGCTGAAACCCATTTCGGAAGTGATTTACTCTTGTCTGTTCTTTAATGTTAGGTGCGAATTATAATTATTGGATAGTTGAAATGTAAAGGACACTAGGCATATTACTGTAGGACGGTGTTTTGGATTTGACATCCTGGCAGTGTAATTACAGCTTACCTTGACATGTAATGTGATCTGTTTGAGGAAGCTGTCTTCTGACACTGTAAATAAGCTTGTGATTGCCAGGCCTCTTTTGCCTGTTTGTTATAACTGATGTCTTATTTCAACGTTTAGATTTGGCAGTGTGGAGGGAAGCTGTTGTTTACTCCCTGTTCTCGTGTTGGGCACATTTATCGTCTCCAAGGGTGGCAAGGGAATCCGCCTCCAGCGTATGTTGGGTCATCTCCTACACTAAAGGTGAATCTTGTGTCTTTAAAAGATTTTTAGCATTTAAGGTAAACGTTTCCCCTGACATTAAGTCTACTCGTGTCCGACTCTGGGGGGTGCTGCTCATCTCCATATTTAACTGAAGAGCAGGTGTTGTCCATAGTCACCTCCAGGGTCATGACTGCTTGAAATGCCATTACCTTCCCGCAGAAGATGTACCTATTGATCTACTCACATTTGCATGTTTTCGAACTGCTAGGTTGGCAGAAGCTGGATCTAACAGAGGGAGCTGACCCCGCTCCCTGGATTCGAACCGCCAACTGGTCAGCAAATTCAGCAGCTCAGCGGTTTAACCCGTTGCACCACTCATTTAGTGTTTAATTGATAAATTAAAAATTATATACTAGTTCTGATACAAATATGTATTTGTCTGCAGCAGAGTATGAAAGTAACACATTTCAAGGAACAGCAAGTTGGTTTGAGGAGGTAATGAGGGATTACAGTTGTTATTTTGGAAGATTAGTGGCACCAAAAATACAACATTGGTCTCCATTGTTTATTTTTAAATGATTGGAAACAGTTAAAATGTAATGCATTAATAATACAGCCTTTCTTGGTGTCTTTGTTTTTAGGTCTGTTTCTGGGGTTATTTGGGGCACTGATTCAGGAAATTGCATCAGATAGATCACATCAGCTCTAGTTTCTTAGATATAGCTATCATAATTTTTATGGTCGAGTAGTTGGTGATTAATATATGGCATATGTTCTGTGTCTCATTTTTTCCTGAGAGTATTTTCTTTTTGAAAGCACATATTTTTAATAATAGCATCTTGTTGAATTAAAGATTGCAAAATATTGTAAACATTGACAATCCCCCTTTAAAAATACCAACCCAAAGTGGATGTTTGAGGATACTAACATAATGTTGTTCAAATAAGGTTTTATTTCCTCTGTTTATAAAATGCATTTATTAATACGATGCCATTTTCCCCCTCCCACAGAATTATGTCCGAGTTGTGGAGGTCTGGTGGGATGAATACAAAGATTACTTCTATGCTAGCAGGCCTGAAACAAAAGCACTGGCCTATGGCGATATCTCTGACTTGAAGAAGTTTCGGGAAGATCACAGATGCAAAAGTTTCAAGTGGTTTATGGAAGAAATTGCTTATGATATCACGTCTCACTATCCTTTGCCACCTAAGAATGTGGAATGGGGAGAGGTGAGTGTAATCCTTTGGTAGGTCTATTTATTTAAAGTCAAAGTTCGTATGCTTGTTTGTACCACAAAGGCTGTTGCGAGGTGAAGTGACCCTCTGTGATGTCACTGAATTGACTGTTGCTAGGTGAGGTGGCCATCTATGGAGTCACTGGAGGGGGGAAGGTAACGTGCCTGTGGGGAAGGGAGAGAGGAAAGAAAGAGCCATGTTGCCAAGGAGACGTTGTGAGGTAGGCCATCTCAGAGCTGGAGAAAGCGGAGGGGAGGGAAGGAAGGAAAGAAGGAAGGAGGAAAAAGATTAAAGGGAAGGAGAAAAGGATAGGAGGAGGCAGGGAGGATAAAGAAATGAGGGAAGAAAGAGCAAAGAAAGGGAGAAAGTTGTAAGAGGATGAAAGAAAAGAATGGGAAAGAAGAATGAAAGCAGGGGGCAGTGGCTCCTCCAACACCTGGGCAGTACCAGGTGTATATGCTAGTGTGTATATATAAGTGTGTGTGTGTGTGTGCATATAGATGTGTGAGAGACCACTTGCAAAAATACAAGCGGTTTCTCTCTCACACACACACACATTCTGGTATTGATCACAGGATTTTGTGCTAGGATGCCAAGAAATGCGACACAGTGGATTTATGCTGGAAAAGACCCACTAGACCAAAGTCAATATTTGTTAAGCTTAGGATGTATATCCAGACAGATTAAAAAGATGAGAAAGTTCCTGTTCTTTCCAATTTTATTTTGGCTATTCATCAATACATATTTTTAATACCAAAATATTTTTCTGTCAGTATGATCTTTTTATACCAGTCATTTGAGTTGTTTTATTTTAACCCAATATAAATTTTGAAAGAGCAACAACAAAAGCTGGGACTTTCCAACCAGTCTGGATGCGCCTTTAGTCTACATTCCTACTTCTAAGACTTCCAGGCCTTTTGAAAATAACTATCAACACTTCAAAAACAGTGGCCTAAAACACTGAAAGTTTTCATACTGGAGGTGGCAAACCATCTAGTATTGTATCTACGAGGGTTGAATAAAAAGTAATGCCTCCACCCTTGTAACTTCTCAACAGATGGCAGTACTGGTATGCGTCACCTCAACATCTTTAAACTTTCTCGCCCAACGACGCACAGTACTCAAATCAACACAATCACCATAAACAGCTTGCATTCTCTAATGCAGGGGTCCTCAAATTAGGGCCCGAGGGCCGGATACAGCCCTCCAAGGTCATTTGCCCGGCCCTCGCTCAGGGTCAACCTAAGTCTGAAACAACTTGAAAGCACACAACAACAACAACAACAACAACAACAACAACAACAACAATCCTATCTCATCAGGCAAAAGCAGGCCCACATTCCCCATTGAAATACTAATAAGTTTATATTTGTTAAAACTGTTCTTCATTTTAATTACTACATTGTTTTTATGTGTTTTTGCACTACAAATAAGATATGTGCAGTGTTTATAGGAATTCTCATGCTTTTTTCAAATTATAATCCGGTCCTCCAACAGTTTGAGGAACTGTGACCTGGCCCTCTGTTTAAATAGTTTGAAGACCCCTGCTCTAATGAATCTCCTTTGGGGTGACACCTTCTGCTGTCAAGAATTCAATGACTGCACGTTGCTTAAGTTGCATTGACCAACTGTCTGTTCAGGGTTCCATACTTCACACTTTAACAACACAACCATTCAATGCTGAGGCTTCCCACTAAAATGGAACCGTAGAGGAGAGTCTGCTGAACAAGCTAGCACCTGCCGCATACCAGTACTGCCATCTGTTAAGGAGTTACAAAGGTGGAGGCATTACTTTTCATTCAGCTCCCATACATGTAATTCATACACTTAAAATTTCAGATCTATTGAGGATTTTACCAGTAGCAAAAAAGTGCCATGGTTTCCTGCATTAGCCTCACAATGCTTTTGAACTAATTGCGTGGATTACAATCAAATTCTAGTTTTGACTGGTGCTCAGTTGTGCGAATAGTCACACATCCACATACGCACAGCAAAAAGCTATAAGAATGCGAGTTCCCACATGTTTCTTGGTTGTGTGTTTTCTGCCTATTCTCCCTAAACCTGAAACAGAAAGCACATCTCATGAACTAATGAACTTCTACAGAACTCACTATGCAAACTGCTTGTTTAGGAAAGCTTTTGAAGAGAGAAAACATTGCTGCCATTTCCATTGCTCATATTACTGGCTGCACATAAAAGCATGTGGTGTTATAAATCGGTTTTATTTTTCCAGCTCACCAGCTTGGAAGTTGTTGAAATAGTTGTCCTGCCTGTCATCGTAGAATTGCAGTTTTACAGGCCTTAGAAGCTGTGTGGCATTCAGTACTGTGCATCATTATTCATGGCAAGAGCCCCTGAATAGTATAATATACTGAGTTTCATTATATCAAAATAGAGGGAAAGTACATAATTAAAAGGAAAGCAAGAAATGACTGCTTTATCTTTTAATCCAGTGGTTCCCAACCTGTGGTCCACAAGAACAAAAATATAATCCGTGGTCTCACCATTGCTACACTGTTGCCTCGAAACCACATGGCAACAAGAGCGACTTGTCTTGCAAAACCCTCTTATTGTGCCAAGGCAACAAGGATGAAGGGAGGGAAGGGCCGACTACCTATAAAAGATTACTACTATCATATCAGGTTATTAGACATGGTTTTCTGTGGGCGAATAGACGGTGACTACTGGATGGCATATATTCTGTATCAGAAACTAGAGCTGATGTGGTCTATCCAAAGCAGTTTTCTGAATCAGCTCCCCAAATAACCAAACCGAATGTAAAGTTGACCAAAAACTGATTCGTAGTACCTTTTGGTACTAATGTTGGAGAGTGGTCCCTGGGCAAAAAAGATTGGGAACCACTGCTATAAACCAACAACTAATGGCTCCACAGACTACCACTTTGAGTAACACTGCTGTATGCTAACTTTGGTGGAAAGCCATTCGTATTGCAGTGTTCCTTCGCTACTTCGCAGTTTGCTTTTTGCGGACTTGCTATTTTACAGGGAAGGAAGAGGAGGAGGGCTTACTTCCTTTCCTTCCTTCCTTCCTTCCTTTCTTCCTTCCTTCCATCTATGACAGCGCGCATGAGCAGGGAAGGAGGAGGGGGAAGAGGCAGCAGAGGAAGAGGAGGAGCTCTTGGTTTCCTTCCTCCCTTCCATGATAGTGCGCACAAATGGGGAAGTAGAAGGGGGAAGAGGAGGAGGGGAGGGGGAGACAGGTATGCGAGGGGGAGCCAGCGGGAAGTGTGGTGTGCAGGGGGAGGGAGGAGGAAAGAGGAGCATCTCTACTTCGCGGATTTTCACTTATTGCGGGTGGTCCTGGAACCTAACACCCGCGATAAGTGAGGGAACACTGAGCATGTGTCTGAGGACCACTAGTGGTCCGCAAGAATGAAAATATGGTCTGCGGCCTTACCATTACTACACCGTTGCCTCGAAACCACATGGCAACAAGAGTGACTGGTCTTGCGAAACCCTCTTGTAGTGCCGAGGCAACTGGGCTGTCGGGAGAGGGGAGGCTGACTTCCCATGAAAGATTATTACTACCACATCAGATTATTAAATATGGTTTTCTGTGGGTGAACAGATGGTGACTACCGGATGGCATATGTTCTGTATCAGAAACTAGAGCTAATGTGGTCTATCTGATGCAGTTTTCGGAATCAGCACCCCAAATAACCAAACTGAATCTAGAGTTGATCAAAAACTGATTTGTAACCTTCTTGGTACTAATGTTGGAGAGTAGTCCCTGGTCAAAAAAAGTTTGGGAACCACTTCTTTAAACAGATGTAACAAAAAGTACCTGTGAGACTGTTATTTAATTTTTATAGGTCAGAGCTTTTTAAACTTTTCCCCTTTCAGCCTGATAAATTTTTATATGACCCCATGTATATAAAAATATAAAATAGTATAGAAAAATCAAACATTTGCTGATAACAATTGACATTTGCAAGGCTTGCTAAACAGGCTGGTTTTCCTTTTTATGAAGTACAACTGAAGCATCTTCTGCAGAGGCAACTAAACACTGCATAACAAAGTTGTGTAAATGTCTCAAACAGCTACTAGATGAAGTTCAGAAAATATTTTCTGTTGCCAAATGTATCAGGGCCCCAATGTTGAGCTAAGGGGACCACATTTGGGTTTGGGAGCAGTGCTATAGATCGATAATGATTTAATGTGATGACAACGTCTTCAGAATATATCACCTCATTCTCTGGCTTCTTGTCCACCTTTTCTTTGAAATCTTTATTGACATTTTTAGATAAAAAAAAATGAATAACAGTCGAACAAAAGCATCAATGTTAAAAAACATGAGAGATAAACCTTGTTTTCATGGCTGATTTTACAAAGAGAAAATAAAGAGAAAATATAAATTGGAATTTTTCTCTGCTCAGCTTTCATTCCAGGACCTCACTGGACTCAAATACTATTATATATAATGACGTAGCTTATGTAAAATGGCAATATCAAGGTTTTTTGGAATTTTGTTTTAACATTTTCAAGCTGTGGGTAGTTGAATTATGGATACAGAATCCATGGATACAGTAAACTGATGTATCTGGACTTCTATAGGTGAATAATTTTTACTGGTGAAGCCTTATGAAGACATAAATTGTTATTTTTATTATCCCAACTGATACTTAATCTACATTTCTGAGGACCCTGAAAGTATACCTTCTTATTTCTGGAGATACTATACTTGTTATTTTTCCGACTATGGTCCCCATGGTGTAACTAAGGAAATAGCAAGCCGACCAAAGTCTGCAGTTAATATACTCAGCCCTGATAGAATGAAATTTGAATGAGACAGTGATAGGAATGAGATAGGAGCTGTTCTTGATGTTGACAGTGGAAGAGATCAATAAGAGTTTAAAAAGCATACACAGCATTAAATGCCGTTGTGTTTGGATAAGGAATTGGAACCAGAAGTGAATATAGAGTGAGGACAAGATGCTCAAGTGCATACATAACTAATAGCAAAACAAAAATATTGAAATATCGAGTTTTTGAAACACAGAAGAGGATGCAAAATATGTTGCGAAATCCACTGGTATATAAAATTGGGAACAAATATTTACCAAATGTGCACATTGAATCACATTAAAGAGAAGGAAGCTCTGCCAAAACGGTCCGGGGAATTATGTTTTGAATGTGGGTGTGCTTTTTCAATGAATGTGCAAAAAGCCTGAATGGAGATGACTCACTTGGAATAATGAATTTCTTTGCTTTCTAGATACAGAATAATACTGTAGACTGTACTGTAAATTCTTTCTATATAAAAAAATGTCTCTAGGAAGGCCATCCTGTTGCAGCATGTCTGAAATATCTCTCTTTCAACCTTACATGATTTTGTGTTTCTTTCTTTCCTGGCTCTCCCATTTGGCTTGATATGTGCACATGCTTGATATGTGAGTTATAATACTCTGTAGCAAAGATTATTATGCCTGGATTGTTGTGTGAGTTTTCCGGGCTGTATGGCCATATTCCAGAAGCATGCTTTTCTGATGTTTCGCCTGCATCTATGACAGGCATCCTCAGAGGTTGTGAGACCTCGCAACCTTTGAGGATGCCTGCCATAGATGTGGGCGAAACATCAGAAGAGAATGCTTCTGGAATATGGCTCTACAGCTCAGAAAACTCAAAACAACCCAGTGATTCTGGCCATGAAAGCCTTTGACAGTACATTATTATGCCTGTTTCACGTAATTGTGAAAAGTGGATTTGAGTATACCATTCCTCCCCCGGTGGAATATCTGCTCTATTAAAACTATGTTTTAATCTGTTTTATTGCATTTACATGTTTTGATTGTTTTATAATTTGATATGTTATATTTATTATATGTTGTATTAGGCGGCATTGAATGTTGCCATAATCTGTAAGCCACTCTAAGTCCCCTTTGGGGTTGAGAAGAGTGGGGTATAAATATAGTAAGTAAGTAAGTAAGTAATCTATTTAATATTTCCTTATTTTTTGAATTAAGACACAAGTGATCAGTGATCACAGAACTTTTTTTCTCTCTGTATGTGTTTTGTAGTTTATCTAAACCAGTGTTTCTCAACCTGGGGGTTGGGACCCTGGGGGGGTCATGAGGGGTTGTCAGAGGGGTCGCCAAAGACCATTAGAAAACACAGTGGTTTCTGTTGGTCATGGGGGTTCTATGTGGGAAGTTTGGGCCAATTCTAGCATTGGTGGGGTTCAGAATGCTCTTTGTAGGTGAACTCTAAATCCCAACAACTACAACTCCCAAATGTCAAGGTCTACTTTCCCCAAACTCCCCAGTGTTCACATTTGGGCATATTGAATTTTCGTGCCAAGTTTGGTCCATACCCATCATTGTTTGCGTCCACAATGCTCTCTGGATATAGGTGAACTACAAATCCAAAACTCAAGGTCAAAGCCCATCAGTCCCTTCCAGTATTTTCTGTTGGTCATGGAAGTTGTGTGTGCCAAGATTGGTTCGATTCCATTGTTGGTGGAGTTCACAGTGCTCTTTGATTGTAGGTTAACTATAAATCACAGCAACTACAACTCCCAAATGACAAATTCAATCCCCTCCCAACCCTACCAATATTCAAATTTGGGCGTATCGGGTAGTTGTGCCAAATTTGGACCAGTGAATGAAAATACACCCTGCATATCAGATATTTACATGATGATTCATAACAGGAGAAAAATGGTAGTTGTGAAGTAGCAGCGAAAATAATTTTATGGTTGGGGGTCACCACAACATGAAGAACTGTATTGAGGGGTCACGGCATTAGGAAAGTTGAGAACCACTGTACTAAACATTCCTTGAGACTGTTGTCGAAGGATTTCATGGCTGGAATCAGTGGGTTGCTGTGAGTTTTCCGGGCTGTATGGCCATGTTCCAGAAGCATTCTCTCCTCTGAGGATGTCTGCCATATATGTGGGTGAAACTTCAGGAGAGAATGCTTCTGGAACATGGCCATACAGCCCGGAAAACTCAAAGCAACCCATACCTTGAGATTACAATGTGGGTGACCATGATGTGCTTTTATTATTATAGCTGGAATTTGGATTTTTGTCTTGTATCTTTGAATAATCCTTGACATTTAGTATTTCTCTGTATGTCTCCAATTTAGGGACCTCTTCGTAACTTCTGAATATGCCATTTTCTCAGAATACCGTTCTCCCTCCCTTTTGATTATGTATTTTGAACTATATTGCTACAATATAAACTATGAATGTGTTTCAGATCAGAGGCTTTGAAACTTCGTACTGCATAGACAGTATGGGCCATACCAATGGGGGCTTTGTGGAACTCGGACCATGTCACAGAATGGGTGGAAATCAAGTAAGTAATCCCAAAGCAAGGTGCCTTGAATTAGAACCAATGCCAAAAGAATATTTCCCTGGAATTTTTGTAATACTGGAAACAACGTTAAATTGGTTGAACCACAACCTCTCTCAGAGCATTGGGAGCTGGGCTGCTCCAACATTTCACACTAATTCTGTAATTATTATGATTTTCTTATTTCTAAATGTGGGTTGTCTTAAAGTCTTTCTAGTAATGAAATACTGTATATCCTTAGGTATAAGTCAATCTCGTGGATAAGTCAAGAGCAGGTTTTGGGCCCAAAATTATAGAAATTGCTCTGATTTAGGGACAATCAAGGGTTAAATATTGTGTTCCAAAATGTAAAGGATGAAGGAAAACAATGCTAACTTACAATGTCTCATGTTCACCCAAAGATCGGAATGGATGAGAAAGGAACTAAAATAAATTGTGGCTGTGCAATGTGTAGGAGACTTGCTTTTGCTTATGGCATCTTTTCAAAATGGCCCCGCTCAGGGGAGAAGGAATGAAGGAGCCAAGGCTGTCATGGGCAAACTTTCAGACTTGGGGGCCGCATGTTGGTGGGCCGGAGCTGGTGGGCCAGGAGGGAGGGGGTTCTCCCCAAGTCCCCTCCCTGTCCTTTCCTCCCCTTTCTCTTTTCTTTCGAAGGCAGAAAGTGAAGAAAAGACAGGAAACGTTTGGTCAGATCAGGATGAGATGGTGGACGGGAGAGAAAAAGTGTGTCTATTAGACTTCATATTGCCTACTCCTGATATATAGTCCTAGAATCCTAGAGGTGGAAGAGACCCACGAGGGCCATCCAGTCCAACCCCCTGCCATGCAAGAAGGCACAATCAAAGCACTCCCAATAAACAGCCTCTGCAGAAAAGCCTCCAGAGAAGTAGATTCCACTTCTCCACCCTACTCCCATGCAGCCTATACCAGTCTCTAACAGCTCCTTAACCTCTGGAAGTTCTTCCTAATCTTTTCAATCAAGTATCTTTCCCTGCCATTTGAAACCATTGCTCCCTTGTGCCCTGGTCTCCAGAGCAGCAGAAAGTCGGTTTTCCCTCTCCATTTGAAACATGGTTCTCGTGTTCCCTCTCTACCTCCTCTTCTCCCAGTTAAACATCCCCCAGGAGGAAAGGGGGAAGGAAAAAGAGAAGGAAGGGTGGAAGGGAATGGAGGGAGGGAAGGGAGAAGGAAGGAAAGACAAAAGGGAAGGAAAGAAGGAGAAAGAGAGAGGGAAGTAGGGAGGAAAGAGGGAAAGAAGGACAAAATAGCGGAATGGAGGGAGGGAGAAAGAGGGAGGGAAGGGAGGGAGGGAAGGGGGAAGGAAAAAGGGAAGGATAGGATGGTGTGAGAGAGGAGGGCCTGAGAAAAGAGCCCAAGGGGCCACATCTGGCCCCTGAACCTGGGTTTGCCCATATGTTCCAGGGAGACCACCTCTGCTCCCTGGAAGCAGGGGACTCACAAAGTACTGTCCAAAAAGGGACTTGTGCACATGGAATTCAACAACTATGTTTCCCAGAGCATCCCTTTTGCGGAAAACCCTGTCACTGTAATAGAATGTAATTACTAATGAACTTTTAATGTGTTGTCCTATCAATATTTTATCATGTTGGCTATCCTTGCATTTCAGCATGGACTTTGGTTATTGCTGAAATGTTTTGCCTTTGTGTTTTAATACTTTTGACACCGAATCTGATCACATGAGCAGTTCAGCATTATTTTTTTCCATTAAATAACCGTCAATGAATGCTTAACATTCTTAAAGTAAAAGGCCAATAGACTCAAAATAATGTGTAAGGAAGACGTGTTTTCATGCATAGACATTGGTAGTTTTGCCATTGTTGGTGTAAAATAATGTTTCATGTGTTTGATTGTGGTGTTTTTGTTTGTTTGTTTGTTTGCACTAGCTGTTCAGAATCAATGAAGCTAATCAACTGATGCAATATGACCAATGCTTGACTAAAGGACCTGATGGAACAAAAGTTGTGATTACACACTGTAATCTCAATGAATACAAGGAGTGGCAGTACTTCAAGGTATCTCACAAGTGTTCTAGTAGTTCAGATTTGTGATTTGAGTCAGGACAAACAGTAGGTTCACATGACTTACGTCACATTTGTTTGGATGTTGAGCCACAGAATTACCAATGAACCATTCTTTCATGGATCTCTTAAGGGATAGTTATATTAATTCTCCATCTTACATAGTCATAACTTAGATGAGATCAGACTGGAACAATGACACTAGCCCAACGCACATTTTGGTGCCTCAAATGTTAAACCTGTTTTTGCGGTATTGGGTTGTTGTAGGTTTTTCGGGCTGTATGGCCTTGTTCTAGAAGCATACTCTCCTGACGTTTCACCTGCATCTGTGCCAAGCATCCTCAGAGGTGGTGAGGTTTGTTGGAAACTAAGAAAATTGGGTTTATATATCTGGAAGGACCACAGATTTCTGGGTATATTTGGTCTGATTCCAAAAATGGTACCAGTTTTTTCCTATTAGTTCTAATTTTTGAGATCAAGAATATTTGCCATGTACAAATTCTTCATGTGCTGTCCTATAAAAAATCATAACCATATCTAAGAAACTATGGCTAATGTGGGCTATCCATTGCGCTTTTCTGAATTAGCACCCCAAATCACCCCGGGAACCGGCCTAAAAACCAAGATACCAAAGATATATTTTTGTGGTTGGGCTGTGTAATAGTTTGTTGTTAAGATGTAATTATGTTTTATTTGGCTTGTTTTCCAGAATTTACATAGATTTACTCACATCCCTTCGGGAAAATGTTTGGACCGTTCTGAGGTTCTGCACCAAGTGTTTCTTTCAGAGTGTGACTCCAATAAAGCAACACAAAGCTGGGAAATGAACAATATCCTTAGTGTGTAGACAAATGAATCTACCTACTGAAAAAATGAATTTGTCTAAGGACTGAAGATAGCCTGAAAACTGCTGCAAAACTTTGTACAGCTGAAGCCCGGAACCTCCTCATCGGGATGAAGGACATAGGTGGACTGGGATAGATTTATCATCTGCAGTTAATGTTTACAAAAACTGCTCTTACCTTAAAACTTCTAATAGATGTTTACATCTCTTCTCTGTTTGTTTGTTTTAGGATGTTCTTTTATTTAAAAAAATTAGTTGATAGTATAATGTTTTTGACTTTGTTTCTGTTTTCTTGAAACAAAGCTAAAAGCTCCAGCTTGGATCCAAACCAGTGAGAGGTTGCTTCCACTTGTACAAGAGGGTATTTTGTGCTGCTGGTTTTGGTAGCAGCCCTGCCCCACTTCCAAAAGCCCCTCTCAAGGACCTTTTGGGCCGACTGTTTCAGTGGAGTAAAGGGCTGGGAATTGGCAACTTTCCGCCTGTGTGTAAGTGCCTTCCACTTGTACACAAGCAGGGGGATTGGATCCAAGCCTTTGTTGCTGTTTTTTGGGATTACACTCAGGGGTCTGCAGGCAGTTTTTTCTTCAATGCTCACACTTGAATAAAAAGGTTAGAGTAACCAGACTTTGCTATATAACATGAACTTATCAACCTGTTGTACGTTGTTTTGATTTTTACATCTTACCAAGCACTGCCACAGGTTTTTTTTAGCCAAGGTGGCCTTCTTTTCAGTCATGCTGCTTTTTTTGGAAGGTGAATTTTTCAACGTATTTAGTGCCTCCTTAATTTGTCCTTGGTTCACAAGAAAAGCATTTGTCATAATATGGGTATGTCGAGGTGTCTCTTTTGGATCATAGTGAGTTAGTAACATCCTCATGTTAGAAAAATTGCCAGCATAACTATTGTACTCTTTATTCTATATCAATAAATAACAGAGGCACAGGTCAGGAATGCTGTGTAAGGACCAACATAGCAGTGGTGTATCTTTGGGACCTTTGAAAAAAGTTCCAGTTCATATACTGGGTAGCACTTAAATCCATGAACCACTTGTGATACAGCATTAAAGTGGCTAGTTTTGTTTTTTTATTTGTTTTTGCAATATCAAACTGAACCTGAAATTTAGCAGTGATACAGTCAGCGGAAGTGAGTTCTGTATATTATAGCTTAACAGCAAAGCTTCCCTGCTGTATTATGTCTTACCAAATCTGGACATGTAGAAGCTCAAATATCTCAATGAAGAGAGTAAAAATGATCCAGTTCTTTCTGTTGAGGAAAATAAGTTGGCTGGAGATGAAATACTTTCAAAACTTTTTAAAGTCGTTTTACTATCCTTCAGCGTTTAATGATTTATTGCCAATTAGATAGAGACTTCTGTGTAGATTAGAAATGAGCTGATGGGTAAAATGTTTATTTTGTGCAGAACTGACTTCAAATGCCATCTTTTCTTCCACATAATTAAGGGGACGTTTGAACCTTAGAATTTTCCTTGATACTTTCATTTTTGTTATCCTAGTTATCAAACTGTGCCATAACTTGAAGAGGAGAAAATCAACTTATGAAACTGTTAAAAACTAACTAGAAATGTGTTGTCGAAGGCTTTCATGGCCAGAATCACTGAGTTACTGTGTGTTTTTCAGGTTGTATAGCCATTTTCCAGAAGCATTATCTCCTAAAGTTTCACCCACATCTGTGGCAGACATCCTTAGAAGTTGGGGGGTCTGCCCTCAACTTCTGAGGATGCCTGCCATAGATGTGGGCGAAACATCAATGTTTCTGGAACATGGTCATACAAAACTGAAAACGCTCAGCAACCGTCTTAACTAAAAAAAATTGTATAATTTTATGCAGAAGAAAAACTATTTTGGGGAGAAATGTTCTTTCAGAAAATGTTTCATCTTGAATTTGACTATAGGTACCTCAGAGGTTTCAATGGGCTTATTGTGATATGGTGTCTCATTGTGCAGTTGGGGACACCTACTCAAGTTGGATTTAACATAACAAGAACATTAGTTCAAAATTAAATTTTAGGTAATCTGAATTAAATTGCAAATATACCTTAGTTTGTGTTGAACTCTTCTATCATTTTATCAGCTTGTAAAATGGGGCAACAGAAGGCTAACATTTTGTCCAGTAGACCAGATATATAGTTTTTTCTTGTCCGACACCATCCTTTTTAAGCCTCCTTTCAAAGTTGTGCATAATTCAGAATAGAAGAGAAAAAACTGGAAAAAGGGATACTAAAGGTATATATATGGGGCACATTTATTGTTTTTGTGTACAAAAACTGGTTTTCTTTTATGTGTGACAGATATTAATTTAATCACATTACTATGCATAGATGAAAGAGATTGCACATAGATTGTGCGGGTGTGTATGCCTGAAGCGAATGTTGCGTGGAATTCCATTAAAATCCAATACTGTGTGTGAATATGGATCTGTAATTTTACACTTCAAATCTTACAAGAGAACAGAAGCTGTTACTCCTAATGACTTTTCCTACTGTAACCTGCTTTTGAAAAAGTAGATCCCATATCCTTGCTTTGTAAGTTGATCACTATGCATTTCTACATTTTATAAATTTGATTTATGCAGATTTTGATACACTGTATGTTTCTGTAAAGATTGTAAAAAAAAAAATCCTCAAAGGTTTTACGAGGGATAAATCGGGAATCTTATGTATATCTTAATTCTGGATTGCTTGTTTTTTTAGGTGAGGCAAATAAATTTTAAAATGTGGGTTTATTATATATTTGCACTGAAAGCCGTTTTTCTTGGTAGTGAATATCTTTATACATAAACAATTGTTTAAATGATTTTATTTTTTTCATCCCCATGCTAAGTGTTGGGTGAGTATTCTGTAGTTCAGATGGAGAATCCTACAGAATACCGATCTTTTTTTAAAAAAAAAACTAGATGGGTACTAAAAGGTCCACATACACCATTTTGTGCTTTTATCTTGCTAACAAATTCCAAGCTACAAAAAACATGTTCCACTTCTGATCTATTAAGGCTTAGAAGAGAAGCTAAGCAAGCCATTGTAGATCCTTGCATGCTACTACTGGTTAAGGAAACCAATAACAAATAAACTCCCACATGTTAAGTCTTGTTTTCTTTATCAATACAGGACAATTATAGCAGTTTGGCACAACTTCAAACACTGTGACAAAAGCCTGTGAGATCATTGGAGCTTGTGATTTAATGAGGTTTTAAAATTTACCAAGGAGCTCTAATGTAGCTTTGGGGATCCTGTTTATCGCACCAAGCTACAAATCCAGGATTCCATGGGATCAAGAACTGATATTCCAAAGGATGTAGATAAAAGGTTCCAAATGCTAGCTTTAACATGTTCCAGATAAAAGATCAAACTCAAAAGGCAACATAGAAATAAGACGGCGTTTCTTGCACTGCTACCCAAATGGTGCATCAAGGCTTTCTGTCAATAGAAGTTCTTTGAGGGGGCTATTTCCAAACCCATCCTTTCTGAACATGTAAAGGCTCAAGATCCTGTGTTGTTTTGAAAGTGAAGCAGGCTTAGCCCTGGTTAATGCTTGAATGAGATCCCCAACAGATAGCAGGATACAGAGGAAAGAAATAGAAATCACCCGAGTATTCCTTGCCTAAGAAAACCCTATGAAGTTCATGAGGATTCGGGAAAAGCCTATTAAATTACGGTATGATTTTACAAATTAAAACACCAAATCGACAGAAAAAGCAGTTCAATACACAGTAACGTTATGTAATAATGCCTGTATTTACAAATTTAGCACCCAAACATTGCAATGTATTGAAACAGCTGTGGATCCAGGCGGGAGGCAGACTGTTGGATGAGCGAAGGTTGGATAAGCGAGACTACTGTACAACCTGTCCTGCAATTTTTTTCTCTAAAATTTTACATTAACTTATTACGACTTCTGAGTGATTAGGGTGACCCAACTAATAGGAAGAACATTTAGGACAACTGAATGATTTTGTTTCAATTATCTAATTTTTATTTAAAACTTTTTAGCATATCTCATTTGTTGGCATTTAGGATGTGCACACTTCTGAAATTTAAAGTATGAAAGTACTGAAAGAGACTTTCCATACAGAATCAGATAAACTTCTCCACCTGTTTCCGAAAACTGAACCAAAGGAACATTTTATGCAAAAACTAAATCAGTATTCTACAAATGTATACTAACTAAATATGAGGCAACAAAACGATAAAACCCATTAATGGCATTGTATACCCCACCTGAAACAATAGGAGTGCAAACATGCTATCACACATATTCCTGAGATGAATCACTGTCCAAACAGTGCATTTGAGATACATCCATTTTCTCCTAGCCTTGCCAAAGGAAATTTGTGTTTTGTAAGTGGTTAAACCTATTAAAGAAGCCATTTTATGAATAGGCAACTACGTCCCCACCATTTTGCAGTGCAGCTGGATCAAAAATATGGACGTCTCATATGGTTGGCTCCCCACTTTAGCATGTTTTGCTTTGGAGGATTTGCTGTACTGCCAACAGTGCCAGATTTCACTCCACCTTCCTATCAAAGACCCATCCAGATTTTAAACTCCATCCTCCCATCGCTCCCTTTCATTGAAGCCTTATCGAGTTCAACTCCCTTATCCCAGCCCAAGCTGCAGCCTGAATTTAAAGCCCAGCCTTGGGGATCTACATTTTTCAGAAGGGCATTAAATTCAGGCCAATGCCTCCAAGAAATGACCAGCCAGGCTTTTGATAGGAAATAAACTATATTTGTGGAGGGTTCGTTTCTTGCAAGTTATTTTGCTTTCACATTGGTTTTGTATCCCTGAGTCCTTGAATGTGAAGCACTGATTGTATTGTCAAGAGTTTTTAAGGTAAATTTTTGTGGCAGAAACACCAGCATCAAGAGGTTCACAAGACTACTGTATCATGAACCAGCAGCTTTTGCAATATACCCTATTTTCTGTTCCCATTTCCTAGGGATAGTATTAGTAACTTTTATATTAATGTATTTCTCCCAGTATTTAAATTGATTGTCATAAAAATCTAACCTTTTGCCTTCCCTGACCTATTAGGTTAAAGCAGGATAGCCCTCTACATGGGCTACATGTTGGCATTTACATGGTGGGACTCTTATGATAAAGGTAGTTAACTTGTGAATGTATTTGGTTTAGTAATTCACCTTTTGTTTTCTAAACTTCCACTAGATTCCCTCCTATATGTCTTGGAAAGGGGGGGGGGCACAAGAACAAGTGGAATCCACTAGGAGAGACAGAAAGAGTAGTTCTGCCCTGAACTTTATACATTTTCTGATGTGTTGTGATTTCCAGCAGGCATTATGTAGGTATTTACAATTCTTAAAGGGATTATTCCCACCTGTTTTGTTACTGTTTTCCCTGTACAATCATTTCCTTGAACACCTGAGTCTTATTTTCAATTATAGCAGATACTGCAGGGGCACTTCTATAAAAGCTTTGCTAGGATAATTTAAGACTTGAGATACAAATATGAACCACAGGAAAGATCTAAAAAAAACCAGGTCAACAGAGTAATTCCCAAACTAAATGGGAATCACTTTGGCGTTTGGACCAGAGAATCACCAACGAATGAAGAGTATGCATAGTCGTGGCACAAACTTACCTCAGATGGCTTTGGCATTTAACACTAAGATGGCAATAAAAACAATATCGCACGTAGACAAGAGCATGGTCATGTTCAGTCTTTAAGCATGGAAGTAAAAATCCCCATAACTCTGATGGTACTGATGCTGATCCAGTATGCCACGTTTCTGCATTGCATTGCATTGCAGGCTAAGGGAAATGGCCCAGGAAGAATCACAAGGTTGCTCAAACAAAGGCGGCTTACAAATGATGTACTCAACATTCTTTAAAGCATTTGTAGTATTGAAAGGCTTAATACAGTCAACCACAAAATTGCCTGAGAGGAATAAAGTACACACTACCTGGGTAAATAATGTGGCTATGCTACATCATGGCCGAACTCTTAACTAAATATCATCTGGCTTTCCAAGGCAAACTAAACATCTTCTCATTCATCCCAACAAGGTTCAGTGTTGTATTGTAATATCAATGACTTTCTAAACTGATGCCACCTCAAGAAAATGTTTCCCCCAGATTTGCACAAGATACTTCATTAGGAAAGCCCTAATTCCTTACAAATTGTTATTCAAGAACCAGAGATAATGAAGAGGAATCCCCAAAATTACGTATATGAAATTTGAAAAAGTAGATTGCAGCAAATTTCTCATCTAAGATGTGGCAATATAATATTTTAAATTATTAACAACCTTAACGATGCATGTTTGGTTTATACTAGAATACTCAGCTGTTTCATTCCTGAGTAAATTAACTGCAGTGTAACAAGATTAATGTACATCATTTTATTACAAAATTGTTAAAAAAAGTAATACAATGCAATAGTATGCAAGACAAGGTTGACTATTTCACTACCAATGCTTTACTTCGCTCCAAATCAAGCAGTCACTGAATTTCAAAGAACCATTAAATATGCCAGAACATTTGCCAATATCAGCTTTGAAATCTAACAGTAGTGGCCATTTGCTACTACTTACATTAGAATACAGATCTCCCTACAGATAATCATATTACCTATACACAATTCTGTACAGTTTTTTAACTGAAGCTAACAATGAGCTGCACTCGACTTCACATTCTTAGCAAAATCATGGACTTTTGAGCACAAATCTTTACATCAGGTTACTTTACTCTTCATCTTCTTCTTCCTCCTCATCCTCTTCTTCTTCCTCCTCCTCTTCCTCGTCATCATCATCCTCCTCTGGCTCTGCTTTTTTCTTAGAGCCTGTTGGCCTACCTGGGCCCTTCTTCCCTGCATCACTCTTATCCTTGGCACGATATGCTGCAATATCCTGCAGGTTCAACAAGGACACGTGGGACTTACACACGAGCTTAATTTTTAACCATCTTTACAAATAGCAACCTGGTATCCCCAAACTTGCTGTACAAAATCTTCTGTATTAAGCCCTTTGCCTCCCTGAACCATGTAGGAGTTAACTCATGCTTTCCTTCTCCCCTCAAGTACTGTAGAACATAAAACCTGGGAACTCAACTGCAGAAGAACTTTATTATAAGAGCTTTGTTTTGTCCATAATACATTTTTATTCATCAGTTTTTCCTTCAAGAGATGTTAGCCATATATCATAATGTGTAATACAAAAGATCAGCTCTTAAATGCTGAAGCTATAAAGCAAGCTAGCACAGTTTGGGGTTTTTTTATATATATAAAATTGTTTGGAAAACCTCTATTTGTATATCTATCTAATGAAATATGTCTGGGAATGGGAAATACAAAATTCATTTATTTTTCACATACACCTTGTACACCGGAACTGAAGATTTTAATAATTGTATGAAACAAAGTATGCATACATGGAAGCATCTGAAACCAAAGGTGTCACTACCTCAGCCACTCAGATAATTTTGGATACTGCAATATTTCAGAATTCCAGATAAGGAATGCTCAACCTGTAACTGAAAAAAACAGAGGAATTGCTTTTATTTTACCTTGTCATATTTCTCCTTCAGTTTTAATGCCTTCTGCTCAAAGGGTAGCTTATCTTTCGCTGTCTGCAAAGACCACATTTCGCCTAATTTTTTTGCTGTATCCCCAATAGACAAGCCTGGGTGGTCACTTTTTATCTTTGGACGATGTTCAGAACAAAACAAGAAGAAAGCAGATCTAAAGTGAAGGAAAAAAAAGGTTTCACAGCCAATGTCAACCTCCAGGACACACAAGCACCAAAAACTGCTTTCTGTGTTTTCACTGATCCGGATCCTGAACCAGGTTCAGAATGACAAGTGGTTCAGTGAAAAATCACCAAACACAGCTATACACAATCGAAGATAATGAACTTACGGAGGTCTTTTGGGAGCATTTGGGTCCTTTCTCTTCTTCATTCCTTTAGGGGGAATATAGTTCTTCATCTCTCTATCATATCGAGCTTTGTCACCTTTTGCCATGTCTTCAAACTTGCCCTTTTCTTTTGCAGACATTGTCTATGGGAAAGGGTAAAATGAGAATGCACACATTTAAAGTGGACCATTCCGTATTTTGAGTTTCTGAAGGACAAAACCCTCTAGGTTGGGCATGGTCAAACTTCGGCCCTCTAGGTGTTTTGGATTTTCAGTTCCCACAATTCCTGGCCTCAGCCCTTTGTTTAAGTAGCTGAGGGGGGGTGGGGAGAAAAGGGCCTGAGGCCATGAATTGTGGGAGCTGGAAGTCCAAAACACCCAGAGAGCCGAAGTTTGACCATGCCTGACCTAGGTTATATTGCAAACCAGTCTTGTTATCCAAGATGCTACTAGGACTGGAGAGCCTAGGAACCTACAATTAATCCTCCTGCTCCATTAATTTATTTATTAAAATGGTACTTTATATTTGTTTGTTGATGTTGACTTTAGGGCCCTACAACCAGATGGCAACTTAAAAAGCAGCAACTTCCTTCTAAGAGCGACCACAAGAATGACTTGAATGTCAAGGAACTGTTGCACAACTGTTTACCATGAAAACAGTTGCTAGCTATTAGATCAGGTTCAGAAAAACATAACCCTTTACTACATATCTCTTCTAAAACTTCTGTATTGTACATTTTATATGTTGCAAGCCACCTTGGGTCTGTTTGCACAGGAATGCAGGGTAAAAAAAACTTAAATAAATAATAAAATAAGTATTTTGTGAAGAATGGGCAAGGAGTGTCAGCAAAACACTCCAATTGCTGCTTTTTTCAGGCTGTTGGGAAAATGAAGTAAATTCCTTATGTGACTGAAACCTGGTAATTTAATATGCTTGGGGATTAGTAAAGTAATGCAACATTTTTGGTAATAAGTTATTTACAATAATTATTAAAACTTTTTAATAGTGAAAGCACTAAGATTCAAATTCTCAATCAGGGGAGATCATCCATTTCTAACACAATTGGGTGCTTTATCAGTCTTGAGAGAAATGACCTGTTGAAAAGACTAGTTCTCAAAACAAGTCCTTATAATATTTAGCTTTCATTGATTATACATGCTCACTCAGAACAAAGTTCCAAAAAAACTTAATGTAGGACTGAAACACTCAAAGGGATCTTTTGTAGCAGCTCAGGGAAAAAGATACATTGTGGCTTGCACTTTCCCAGGCATGTAATGCAGTTTTACAGGGGTCTACAGCCTGAGCATATAAAGGACATTTCAAAATGCATTATAAGGCAATGTACACGGGGCCTTGGTTACATTCAAAGGTGCTACAAGATCTCTTTGCACACCTATGTTCCCCAAGCAACACTTGAGGAAGCTCCCCAAACCAGGGTGTAACAGTTATCCACAGATTCAACTATCCCTGGCATAAAAATTCAAAGTAATTCCAAAGACAAGCAGATTCTGCCTATTTATATAAAAGACACCATTCTTCTCCCCACTGGGAGAAAGACAGGCTTGAAGTAAATAAGAGTTCAGGCATCAATTCCAACTTATGATATTGTACAACATACTATATAATACTAATAGTATAATATACTGGTAGTGTATTATATCTATTGTGGTCTAATAATATAGTACAAAAAAAGAATATAACAATTATATATTACATGCAATTACTAATATTGCTGTATAACAGTATAGTATAGTAGTTCTCAACCTGTGGGTCCCCAGATGTTTTCGTCTACAACTCCCAGAAATCCCAGCTGTTAGGATTTCTGCAAATTGAAAGCCAAAACATCTGGGGACCCACAGGTTGAAAACCACCACTATAGTACAATATAATGTATAATACTATTATACATTGAGTCACCTCTGGCTGAGAAAGGCAGTATACAAATATGGTAAATAAAATAAATACTGTGCTATGCTGATAATATATAGTATATTCATATACTGATAATATTTTAATGCATTACAATATAATACTAATATTGTAATAGTAATTTTAATATATTAAATATAGTTACTGATTTTTTTTATTGTATCAGGAGCGACTTGAGAAACTGCAAGTCGCTTCTGGTATGAGAGAATTGGCTGTCTGCAAGGACGTTGCCCAAGGGACGCCCGGATGATTTGATGTTTTTATCATCCTTGTGGGAGGCTTCTCTCATGTCCCTGCATGAGAGCTGGAGCTGATAGAGGGAGTTCATCCACCTCTCCTTGAATTCGAACCTGCGACCTGTCGGTCTTCAGTCCTGCCAGCACAGGGGTTTAACACAGTGTGCCACCGGGGGCTCCGTTACTACTGATAACATATAATATTGTTTTATTATTGTATACTTAAGTTGTACTTTTTTTAATGTGAGTCGCTTTAAGGGCCCTTACACACAGCTCTATATCCCGTAATATCAAAGCAGAAAATCCCACATTATCCCAGGTCAATGCAGATATTGTGGGATTTTCTGCCTTGTTATTCTGTGATATAGGGCTGTGCGGAAGGGCCTGGAGTCTTCTTATGGAGAGATAAAGCAGGATAAAAATAAATAATTAAATCCCCAGTGAGTATCATGGGGGCGTTGCATTCCAGAACCTTACCAAACTTTCAAAAATTTTAATCTCCTTCCCTCCTCCCCCTGTTGTTTTCCCGCCTTTAAAAATGATGAACGTAAAAGGTAAAAATGAATGAGATTGACTTTCTTTCATAAGGCGGCGGTTAAAACGCGGCGGCTAGGGAACGAAAAAAAAACACCGTCCTTCCCGCCTTTTAAGCCCTTGGGCGGCAACTGGAAGGAAAGCGAGAAGAGGGAGCGCGCGCGCGCAGAGGGGAAAGGGGCGGAGCGAGCTCGAAGGGAGGGGGGAAAGGGGGCGGGGCTTGCGGCAAGGGCGCGAGGCGAGACTTGCAGAGGAGCTCGAGGCGGGTGGGCGGGGCTTGCGGAGGGGGGAGCGCGAGGCGAGTGGGCGGGGCTTGCGGGGGAAAGCGCGAGGCGAGGGCCGTTGGGGCCTTCTCTTTTTTTCTCTCTTTACCCGCCATCGCTCGGAGCACTTCTTGGAGAACTCAGCGAAGTTGACCGAAGAGTCCGGGTGCTTCTTCTTGTGCTCTTCGCGGCACGTCTGGACGAAATACGCGTACGAGGACATCTTGCCCCGAGGCTTGTTGGGGTCGCCTTTGCCCATGGCGCCGGAGCCCAACGGTCCCTCAAGTGAGGGCTGTAAAAAATAAAAGGAAGAGGAGAAAACAAAATGGAGATTTAAAAAGGGGGGGAGGGAGAGGGAGGATTATTTCCCGCCCAAATTATTTCCTCACAGCCGCCTGCTTCTTTTATAATCGACCCAGAATTCATTCTACGCTAAATACACAAATGCACCCCTTCGCAGCCTGGCCCCTTTTACCTTAGTCGCGGTGACGGAAGTAAACCAGGAGCCCTTCGCGAGCACCTCCGCCTTCCTTCTCCACAGCCGAACGAGTCGCTCCCAACGCACTCAGCAGCCTCTTGTTTTCCACAGTCCTACCCGCCACAGCAACTTGACCCTCAAAGCTTTCTACTCCAAGGCCCGCCTCTACTGCCCTCCGGTTGGCTGCTGGCTGGATTTGAACCTCTCCAAGCCACGCCCCCGTCCTTTCCCGGATTCCGATTGGTTCATACATTTCCTGACGTCACCGATGCCGCTAGCTAAGCTAGGTCGAGAAAGGGGCGGGGAGAAGGAGATTGGGGTGGGCTAGTTGGCGCTTCATACCCGTTGAAACCGGTTAGGGAGTGAGGAGAGAGGGGGACCCAGAGCCCGCCTCCGATTGAAAAAAAACAGCCCCCAAAGCCGCCTCCTATTGGCCGAGGGGAGAATCCCGGGCTGCGATTGGCCAGTGGCAGGCGAACTAGCGTGGTTTAAAAATACAAAGAGGGAGGGGGGAAGGGGAAGGGAGGAAAACAAAAAGAGTTCTGAGAGTTTTGAAAAAACAGATGCGGGTGGCGACACTTGGTTGCATTCAAGGAAAGCGGGGCGGGCGGGCGCTTTTCGTGCGCCTTCCTCGCTTTGGTTGCAAAATGGAGGGGCTCAAGTTGTTGTGTAACTTTCTTCCCTCTCTTGTTGTTCTTCACAGACCCAGGCTGGGTTTACAAGGCAGTCTTGTGCCAGATTTGATCCAGTTTGACACCACTTTCCACTGCCATGGGAATAGCTGTAATTTTAATGAAGTGCCAGCACTCCTTGAGCAGAGAAAGTTAAAGCCCTCGCAAAGCGGTATCAAACTGCGTCATTTCCGCAGTGTAGATACCCCTCGAGCCTCTCAAAAGGCTTCCCCGTGTTAACCAATGCAAGGGAGAAGGAGCCTTGAAGCCCTCGAAAGCTATTTTTGTGTTATTCTTTCGCCTTGGGCTTTCAGGGAGGAGTTTTCTCCCGCCTTCCTTCGTTTCCTCCTTCGTGAGGTTGGAAAACAACCGACGAAACGCTTAGCTGCCATTGAAAAAGTGCTTTTTCGCCCGCCACGAAGGGTGTGGAAACCACTAAGGCCTAGAGACACTCTCTCAGCTTCTAAAGTAGGCCAAGGCAGCCTTAGCTTCGCCATAAAGGCACACAACAACAACAGCCCACGGAGGAGCTCTGCCCTGCTATTGAGGCAGCCTTGCGCGGGATTTTCCTCAGGGCTCTCGCCACCTGTTGCTGCCTCTCTGGCTGTTTTTTTTCCCCTCCTTCGTTTCTCCAGCTGTCGCCTGCGTTAAAAACCTGGTTCCTAGAGGCTGGCTCCATTATTTACTCCCCAGCAAGCTTCTTCTCTCTGCTTTGGGCCTCCAAGTGAAGAAAGTGGGAGAAAAAAGCATCCCACAGAACTGGTTCCCAGGAAGAAGAGAATAAATAAAATAATTGCAAGTATATTGAAAGTATGTGGACAGTTTCCACAGAAAGTAAAAAAAAAAATCCGACTACCAGTATTTTTTTTAAAACCCTCTTAAATCAGGACAGTAAATAAAGAACAACACTCAGAAAACAGGGGAATTCTAGACTAGAAACAATCAGGGCCAGCTAACACCTCCAAACAAAGGATTTCCCCAGGCCAGAGCGATGTGCAGACATGCATTGTCATGAAGGAGACAGACTCCCGCTGTCAGCGTCCCATGATGTTTGCTCTGGATGGCTCTGCGAAATTTCTTTGTGATCTCACAATATATTCTGTACCCATTTTGTCACAAGCTGTCGTGACATTATATCCTCTTTATAAAGTGAAACGATTTCATGATTTTTTTTTGTCGTGTCAGGAGTGACTTGAGAAACTGAAAGTTGCTTCTGGTGTGAGAGAATTGGCCATCTGCAAGGACATTGCCCAGGGGACGCCCGGATTATTTTTGATGTTTTATCCTTGTGGGAGGCTTCTCTCATGTCCCCGCATGAGGAGCTGGAGCTGATAGAGGGAGCTCATCCGCCTTTCCCCAGACCTGCAACCTGTCGGTCTTCAGTCCTGCCGGCACAGTCCTGCCGGCACAGGTTTAACCCACTGCGCCACCGGGGGCTCCTGGTGATTTCATGGTGAACAGCAGCAGCGTTAATGCCCCTAGCATTTAAGTAGGGTATTACAGTGCAAACGTCTCACTTGGAGGGAAACAGAATGAGGACACTCATCTCTAACCTTGACCACAATGCCAGGCGACGAGCTACTGACGACTGGCACAGCTCGTTTCCTTCTGCTGGCTTCTCGCTACACGGCAATGATACCAACCTCCTTTGAGAAAATTTCCCGCGAGAGCTACATACCTTGCAACCTTACTTTCTGGATAACCCTTGTATAAGCTCCACTTGCCTAGTTTCCAACAGACCTCACAACCTCTGAGGATGCCTGCCATAGACATGGGTGAAAGAAAAGAATACTTCTGGAACATAGTCATACAGCATGGAAAGCTCACAACAACCCAAATATAGACCTCACTAGCCCCTCGATCAGCAGGCCTTGCTATATTTCTACAGCAGACTGGAGAGGTGTGTGGATAGATATTTATACACAAGCCTGTAGCCAAGGGAGCGGTTTAGGGGTTCAATTTTTTCAGGTAAAAAAAAAAAACCTTGTTTACTTCTGAATTTTAGCTGGTTAACCAATAGTCACCAAAAAAAAGTACAATCAGAGTACAACTGGTGCTTGGCTGAAACCCTCTTGCTAATTCACATGGGAAAGTGCCTTGATGTAACCTGTCATGATAAAGGAAATAAAGCTGAAGAAAACAGAAAGAAACTTAGGTCAATAATGGAAACAATTGTCCTTTGTGGCCAACCAGAACTGACTTAAAGAGGGAGCAATGATTCCGGATCTTTTGCCTGTGAAGAACCTTTGCACAATGATGGTAATTTCAGGGTCTTGTTGAGATTGCGGGCCAGATCAGGAGACACTGAGCTGAAAAGCCATCTTGGGGAAAAAAGTTTAAACCCCTCCCCATTTTTTTTCTTGGCTACGGGCCTGTCCATACACCTTCCCACCAAAAAGCGACAGCAACATTCCCCTTGAATGTCTGCCCTTATGACACACAACCACATAACTTCAACATAGCACAGATTTATACTATTACTTACTTTAGTCTTCTTTGCAGATTCAATAATTTTATTTATTATTATTATTATTATTAGACAGACTCTAAACGGCTGGTACCATTGAGGCTTTCTGATGCTGAGCACTGCATTCTGGGAAATGTAGTTTAGGGCAGGGCCTTTTGCATTCTCTGCCAGGGGATCTCGCCTTCCCGAACTAACATTTCTTGGGATGCTGTGTTCTCAGTTTCCTACCAAAGTTTTCTAGTTCTACTCCCAGTGCCTTCCTTATGGCATTCGGGCCAAAGAAAAACAAGATTGGGTTTTAAAACACTTTGCTTTATCTTGGCTTTACCAAAATTGCTTAATGCTTATACTGAAAATTAAACTGACCTTGGGAGGCATCCAAATCCAAACAAAAGCCTACATTTTGCAAAGTGCTTAAGCATTATAATGTCAATTACAGAAATGATATAAAATAATACAAATACTGTCCTTACATTTTGAAATCTCCAGAGAAGAAGACTCCACCACAGTCCAAGGCAGTGTAATCCACTGCCAAACTACTGTCAGGAAGTTCTTCCTAATGTTTTCTGTGGAATTTATTTTCCTGTCATTTGAATCCCATTGTTCCATTGTGTCCTAGTCCCCGAAGCAGAGGAAACAAGCTGGCCTCCTCTCCAATGTGGCATCCTTTCTGATATTTATACATGGCTATCTTGTCTCTTCTCAGCCTTCTTTTCTCCAAACTAAGCTGGCTGCTCATCGTCGGCTTCCAAACCTTTTTTGAGCATCCTTCTCTGAGTTTAGAACAGCATTGATCTAAGAGGCAATGTCAGAGTAGCATTTACATACATTTGCGGTTTTTACTTGTGTGGATTACATTATTCATATCCTCTAGGAAGCTCTGTGAATTTATGGTCAACTTCTTCCAGTCATACAGGAAGACTAGGTATCCTTAAGTCCTCCACAATACCATGGTCAATTTCTAGTGAGAGTTGACCCTCAAATTGTACTGGAAGACATAGAAATTCCTAGAGAGATGGTTTTTCGCTTACACTGTGACCCTATGCCTCCAACCCCCGTGATTTTAAAATAGTGCATTTAAAATTAAGGTTGTGGTCCCAATACACCACTAGAGAAGTGTACGGACTCTGAATATTCAAGTTTGAATCTCTGCTCAGCCACAGAAAATCACTGGGTGACCATGAGTAAGTTATACTCTCTCAGGCACAGATAAAAGTTAAGGCAAATCTCTCTGAACAAATCTTGCCAAGAAACTTCCATCATGCTATTGCCATAAATAAAAAGCATCTTGAACACAGCAAGGACAAGCAATCCGGCACAGTCGATGACTGTAAGACATTTCTATAACTTTTTTAAAAGGTACATACTCCATATCTGCACTGATAACGGGATCTGATTTTAAGTGTTTTCTCTAATAACAAAGAAGCATTAAGATTTGCTATGTTCAAGTGCTTCTCTGCTAAATATCAAAAGTAGCATGTAATAGAGCTTTTCACAGGGAATTCTATTCATTTCACAGGTTATATAGAAATAAAACAATGAAATCCCACCAAATTATGTTCATCTTCACACCAGAGCCCTTGAGCTATGATTAAAGAAACAGGTTTATTCTTTATTCTTGGTATTAAGATTAAGTCTAACTGTTTCTCAAAGGAAAGAGTTTCATTCTTTTTTCATAGTATTTCTTTCCTTGCAGAGCTGCTAGTCATAATTGAAAATCTGATTTTTAAGACAGTAAACTATTCAAGAAGTACATCTAAATTTTGCAATAAAAACTGTTAACATGTAGCTTTGAGAGTAATAGAAGAAGTGAGGTATGTGAAATGTTTAATTGCTACTTAAGTTTTCTTCGTTGTTACATAATGTTCCTGTGAAAAAACAAGCACCTGGATCAGCCAAAGATCTCTAACCACAGGCAGGTTGATAGTGAAAGACACACATTTCCATATATAGTTTGGTTCCAAGCTGCCTATAGCATTAAAAAATAAGCACCGGCACCTTGAATTGGA